GAGGAAAGGGAAATGAGGCAAGTGTGGCAGGAGCTAATCTTGAACTAAAGTAAAATAGTTCATCACAGTTTGTCAACTTTCCTCTCAAGTGTGGGAGACCCTAAAAGAGATGCTATTTTGACTTTGAGATTCTGTCATGTATATTCAAGACAAATGTAGGGAAAGCAAATACAAAATATGGGGCAAAGAATCTTGCAGAGCTGTCCACAGTGAGGATGGGGGTGAAGTGGTTATATTTAAAGATTTTCCTGGTTTTGAGTGTTGTCTAAGGACGTGGTAGAACCTTCATTTTTGTTGGAAAATGGGACATACTGGTAACATCAGGAAGGATTGTCACCTGGATTTAGTTTAAGGAAGTTTTTTGAAAGGGTGGCTTATTAGTCTTGAAAAACAGTGTGTGTATACAGAAGAAAGCAGACTGTGATTCAAATCCCTGTTTGTCTGACTGGAATCTCTACCCTCAGCCACTGTTATACTGCCTATAGTTGGAATTTGTATTGTGGCTAAAACAAAACCCCATCATTTTTAGGTCTTGGAAATGAAAGACTTCTTAGAAAGGAAAGAACTGATCAAGTAGATATCAAACAAGAGTCCCTGAGAAGTTAGCATTCAGCAGCAAAGAGTAGAAAAAGTATTGACTAAAAGTCAGGAGATGGAGGTTTAAATTTAAGTGTTATCATTTAATAGCTATGGACCTTTGGACACCTCTCTTATATACGATTCACCTTCTCTATCTGTAGAAGGGTATAGGGATAACTGTGGGTTAAGGGGAAGTCTCAAGAATAGTACATGTGAAATGTTCTGTAAATTTCCATTTGGGGCGTGAGATTATTGTCATTATTCAGTGTGTTGCAGGTTGGAGGTGTGCTCGAGTATGAGGTTACACACTCATGTATCCTGGAGCAGCACCTGGGACTCCTCACATGTGACACTATTTGGAACTGAGGATTAGAAAATGGCTCTGCTCAGGCTTAGATTGGGGGGATTAACATGGTAGGTCCAGCATGCTCTTCACCCCAAGTCTACCTCTCCACATCGGAAAAAAATACTTAGCGGACCTTCCATGGAATTCTCTCTGATTTGGTTGAAGATAAGGCACTAGAGGACCACAGCTTACAGATGTTAATTCACAAAATAGCAAATACCCAGAGGATCAGGAGACCCTTTACTTTGTAACCCTAGGAAGAAGGAAAATGGCAAAGTTAGCATGATTTGGGGGATCCAAAGACTAAGGGGTACAACATCAAAACATTCCGACTCCAATCCTGTCTGGCTCATCATTGTATCCTCACTATATAACAGTCTACATGGCTTTGGCTTTTCCTGGTGATTCATAGATGTTTGTGGATGAATAAATTAGCCATAAGTGAATAAATGATTCCTTCTTTACTGTTTGGAGTACGATTCTCCTTATTTGTGAGCCAGAGAAAATTTCTTGGAGGAGATGAATCCAGAATTGAGTATTTTGGGGGTGACAAATTTATGGTGGTATCATTTACATACCACATAGTTCACTCATAAAGTATAAAATGCCATGAATTTTAGGATATTCACAAATATGGGCCACCACCACCACCATCAGTTTCAGAACATTTTAATCACCTCCAATAAATAAGGTCTATACCTTCTAGCTGTCACCCTTAATTTTCATACCCTTCCCCCTTGCCCCTAGATAATCAGGAGCCTACTTTCTATGAAGAGCTGAGTTTTGAATGGGACCAAATACCTACTGGCAAAAGTAGTGTAGTTGTGTGTAGGCTTGTGGATGGAGGTGGATGACTAAGTGTGGTCTGGATGAGAGATGTGGGGAAATGAGGGAGGCATGAAATGACAAACTACAATTCATGCTGCAAAGTTTGAGTTTCAATTTATTGTTCAGTTGATGAAGATGTGTGGAGATCCTATAGATAGTGTGTTTTGGGTACAAAGAAGATTAAATTCAATAGGAGTCACTGCAGGTTCCAGAACCCAAGAAAGCATGTTCAGAATGATGTCTGAGGCAATCAATTTCTGCTGTTCTTTGTGAATGGGCTGGGGAGGTAGAGGCCTGAAGCCTTGCACTGTTCCTCCAATGATCGGGCTCAGTATTGTTGTCTTAGTCACCACTGAAAGAGATGGTGCCATTTTGTGCTGGCCACCCCACCTTCTGAGCTCAGTGAACAAGGCTGCCTCAAGTTTACAGGTGTGTCTCCCTAAGTCCCTTGGCCATAACTGATAGTGGCTACTGTTCAAAACCCAAATTGACCCAGAGGCTCAGAGCCCCTCTCTGACATGCTACCTAGTGGTGGGAAGTCAGAAGGTGGACAGAGCCTCATCTGTCATTCTAAGGAAAGAGAGTGGGAAGTCTGAAGAGGCACAAGGGAGGAGGTGTGGATGGCTCACTGCAGGCTCTCTATTGCTTCTTTCTTCCCAAAGCACCCTTCTCACTGTTAACTTTTGCACTACTGTTCCCCATGGCTATCTTTCTGCCCTGTACCACACACCCTGTATAATTTACTACCCTGCCTACTCACAGCTGGGTAATCTTCTTAGCCTGGAATCTTCAGGTTTCTCTGCACTACACATCTGACTTCAGGTGCTGCCTTATTCTGCCCAGCCTGATAGGCCAGGTTATCTAGCTCATGCCAGCCTGGCTGGTGTGTAGGTTCGAAGGTAATGAATAGGCATCACTGGTGTATTTACCTTAATTCTTCATCCCCTTCCTCAGACCTTTGGAGGGAGTCTTCCTTCTCAGCTCAGTTTCTAGAGGAGCAAGGTGATGTGTGCATCTGAACGTTGTACCTGTTACCTCTGCACACCCTGCCTTGTATGAGAAGCACAGGAAGTGGGGGTGGGCAGGGAAAAAAACTCTTGTCTTTCTTAACACAAAGCAACAAACAAAAGTAAGGGAGACCTGTGATTTGTCAGCAGATTAGGTAAGTGAGCTGTGCTGGATAAGGTTTAACTCGCAAACCTTCTAGACACATAGTTCTTTGAGGGTAGAGACTGTGTTATGCTAAGTGTTCCCTAACCATCTTAAATGCATGATCGTGTTTAATTCCCACAACAGACTCTCCAGGGGGTTGTACAGTTGAGGAACCTGAAATTTCAAAATTAACTCGCTCCTGGTCAGATAGAAACAAGGCTGAGATTTGAACCCTGTTCTTTGGACTCCAGGGCCTGACCCCTACTGCATTGCCACCATCTCTCCAGGGTCTGGAGACTGTCAGTTCTTATGTATTTGAGATCACAGATAGGTGGAGGAACAAAGGCAGGAGGATGTGGAAGGTGTGACGGAGGAGAAGTGTGGCGGGGTAGGGTCACGGCAGCAGCATGTGAGGCTCTGCTGACCGCCCCAGCAGAACTGCTCCGTGAGAAGTAGCCAACCTTTGGTTGTAGATGTGGTTTCCAGATTCAAACAGTGTGGAAACTGAGAAGGTAGAGATTGATGTGTACTGGCCAGTTTCCTCTGTGAGTTGGTGTTTTGAGAGTTTCCATAGCGGTTTTGTATTCAGAGGGTGCCAGTTATGTGTCAGGCCAGAGACTGGGTTGGTTGTGGAGCAAATTGACCGGTGATAATTCTGCCCTGTACCACACACCTAGTTTCTCCCAGGTACAGTCTATCTCCCAGTTGCTATGCTGGTCACTGGTAATTGCTTCTAGGGTAACCAGCGTTTTCATTAAGGTGTCTGAATGGCTGAGCTGCCACTAGGGAATTTCCTTCTTGACCCCAGTGGGCAAGCTGCTGGCCCTGAAGCAGATGTGTGAGGGTTGGCCTGAGAGCCCGGGGCTGGTTGCTGGGTTGCTATGTGTACAGGAGCTTTATGAAGTCTGAGGGCTTTTCCTGGGACCTTTGCTCTCTCGGATTCTTTTCCTTCAGAACCCAGATCTGTGTGGTGATTTGCCAGGGGCCTGTTTTACCTGACACAAAAGAAGATACAGCTTTCTGATACCTTGGTGGTGGTGGCTGAGGGGGTAGAGGGGGTTCTGTGGGCTTCTCCCCCAGGAGTTTGGAGCCTGGATAGGCTGCCTCAGAGGAGATGGTAGAGCTTCCATCAGGATGTGACACTGAAAATTTAATGCAGGCCTTCAAATGGGAGAAGGGAGGTAGAGTGGAGATGCTCTGAGCTGGTGATGAGACATCTCAGACCATGGCCTGCCATACTCCTCTCCCTCCCATGTCACTGTGAGCAGCCGTGTACCACCACTTAAAGATAGTCCTGGTAGCAAATATTCTCCTCTTTCATCAGACTCTGTGTCTGGATTTCCCGTTTAGATAATCTAGTTCAAAGTCATCCCCAGGAAAATGTGGCTGAGCTGATTTGCGGTGGAAGAGGAGAGGGATATACAAATCTCTGACTTTTTGATTTGAGGCTCTGCTACATTTTTCCCCCTGCTTCATCCTTTGTACCTACTCTAACTGGGTTGAGGATCTAGTTGTCCAACTCTGAGTTGTAGGCGGACTAAGGAAAAAAGGATAACAAGACTGGGTTGGGGCCTGGGACTAAGGTCTCCAGTCTCAAGTCTGGGCCAGTTTCTGTCACATCTCTCCGGGGCTTCTTCACTCCCTGTTAAGGTTTCTCCATCTCAGCACACCAGCTTGGAAATGCCTCTTCCCAGCCTGGTGCCTCTAACCTCCACAATCTGACCACACAGGTTTTCATTCTTGCTGCTTCTGGTTGGCAGGCTTAGTCAGGAAATGAGAGGGCTGAGTGAGAGGGGACTAGAAAAACAAAGAACAGAGCCCACTTGGTTTTCCCCCTTTCTTTAGCAGCTTTGGAAAACAGTTTGCCTGGGGGCCTAGTTTAGGGAAGGGTGAGTGCGGTAACCCTTGTGCTGTTTGCCCCAGTAATTAGGAAAATAGTGGATGGATTCTTTCACTGGCACATTTTTTTAGTCTCTCCAGGGGTCTTCCAGTTGGTTGTCTTAAAAAGAGATTCTTACATTGTAAAAGTCAGTGAATATTGTGTAATAAAATAGGTACTTAAAATAAAAAATTTTAACTAGTAGAGAAGAGGAGCATAGCTGATTATTTCACCTTGTTAACCCAACCATCGGTAGCATGTTTGGTGGATCGACTGTCTCCCAGTGTTTTTTCTCATTCATATTTTCTTCTTAATCAAGGGGATTCTTTTCTTTTTCATCAACCCTTCCGAACCTTGTACCTGTAAGAGGATAATGAAAAACATAGGCTGAGAAATATGTTCTTCCTGAGGGATAAGGGAAATGATGAATTTTGGAAGCACTGTTTCAGGAGGAGCCATCAGGCCAGCAGCCTCCGAGCAGGCTGCATCGATCTCACAAGCATTTGTCTTCCCACTGGGTCATGATACTCTGCAGCCCTTTCTGACCTTTTTGTTGATTCTCAGGGTTGGATGGAATCGTTGCAAAAAAGATTACTTTGAATGGGGTGGAGTTTCTCCAGAGAACAATCTACCCTTAACTGGGGTGATAACCTCAGTTTTCCTTGTGTCTACGATGAATCACATCTTCTTGATATGAGGATTTCATTAAAAAAGAAAACGACCCCAGGAAAGAGGATTGCGCACTTCTTATGGTTGCTTCTTTCTATGTTTTTAGGTCATATTCTTTTTTGTTTTTTTTTATGTGAATGCTTAGGGCAGCTTTATTTGTAATAGATCCATATTAGAATAAACATAAATGCCCATCAAAGGTAGAATGAAGAGGCACAAGGAGTTAAGTCTCAGCACTATGAAGCTATTGGCAGCCACTGCAGCGTGAGTTCGATCCCTGCTCAGGAGACCTCTCCTGTCTTGCCCACTGCTCCCCTCAGTCTGCCTGTTCTGTTGCCCACTCTGTCTCTGGTGAATCCTCTCACCCCACCCCCACCCCACAACTCTGGCCTACACCCCAGCTCCTATATCCATAAATAAATAAATATTTTTTTGAAAAGGTGTAGAATGAAGAATAGAATATGGTACATTTATTTTTAAATATTTATATGTGTATATATATATATTACATCATTGCTCTTTTTTTAAAAAAAAAAAAAAAAGATTTATTTATTTATTTATTTATACAAGCACTGGGTACAGTCAGAAGTGCGGGAGGGCGAGAGAATTCACCAGAGCCAGAGTGGAGAGCAGAGCAGACCGACCGACGAAGTACACTGCAGAGGGGAGCAGCGGGCGGCAGGAGAGGTCTGCACGCCATGTAGGACCCTCACCCAGTGGCCAGGGATTGAACCGGCGCTGCAGAGGCTGCAGGCAGCTTTGCAACCCAGCACTCAACTGCTGCGCCACCGGGGAGGCCCGTCATTGCTCATTTTTGTACAGTGTATGCTTTCTGCTCTCAGGTGTAGTCCCCATAAAATTTCCATTACCAATCCACCCATGCACCATTACCATAGTTCCTTGTACTTTTTCCTCCCCTGTTTTGATCCCTCTCCTTCCTCCTCCTCTGCAGCATGTCTCTGATTTATAGTTGCCTGTTAACTGTTTTTTTATTGTTATTATTTTTTTCCTATAAGTGTAATCATCTGATATTTTTTCTTTTTCCTTCTGGCTTTTTTCACTGAGCATAATCCCTCCCAGCTCCATCCATGTTGCTGCAAATGGCATGAGTTTATCTTTTTTGATTGTTGAATAGTATTCCATTGTGTATATGTACAACATCTTCTTGCTCCAGTCATCTATTCTTGGGCATTTGTGTTGTTTCCATATCTTACCTATTGTAAATAGTGCTGCAGTCAACAGAGGGGTGCAAGTGTCCTTTTGCATGAATAGTTTTCTGTTCTTTGGGTAGATTCTTAGGAGTGGAATTGCTAGATCATATGGTAGCTCCATTTTTAATAGTTTGAGGAACCTTATGCCATATTCTTGAGACAGTTCTAACTGTGATCTAACTAAAATCCTCTATGGAACAATTCAACCTCACTTTCTCTTGCTTTTTTCTTCAGTGAAGGGGAAATACTCTCCAGTCATCGTCCTTTTGAGACTATTCCTTCAGAGACTATTGGTAGCTTGAACTGTGGCTTCTGGATTCTGAGGGAAAAGAACCTCTGACTTTGTACAACAATTACTTGGACATCCCTGGTTCTTCAGTGGGGGCTGTGGAGCCACATGAGTTAGAACCTAGAGACAGTCAGACAGAGGGGAGCAGAGTAGAAAGTGACCCACCCACCCTTTCAGAAAATTCTGAGACACTGAAAAGGCCCGTTCTCTCTGAAGTGCATTCTGCCTGCTTGGCTTGCTTCTCAAAATGCCTCTATTTGTTGACATACCTTTTGTTTAGCAGTGGGAGAGATTAGGCTAAAAATGTAGATAACTCAGAAGAGGCAATTCTCAGAGTTCCACAAACATTTATTGAGCACTTAGAGAATCAGGAGCTGTTTTAGGCACTGGGTGGAATACAAAGACAGATGTAAACTGCCCTTCCAGTGAGAAGCTCTCAGCCTGTGTGGGAGATCAACATGTACAAGTTCTTTTCAGTGGAATATGCAATTCAGACTAAAACATAAAAATAATTTGTCTGAAAAAGCTCTGCAGGGAGGGAGATGTGAGGAGGCTCCTAGGACCTGGATTTCACATTACGTTGCCTGTTTCTCTTGTAGTCAGCTCCCATGTGCAAGTACCTACAGATTCTGTGTCTCTTTCAGAGAGTCACATCTTTGTGGTGGGTGGGATTTGTGTGGCCATTTCACTTTGAGTAAACAAAGAAGTTCATGGCCTTGAATCTGGTCATTTGTAGAAATGGCTCTCTATACGGGTCTTCACCAAATCAATGAGATATTGAGTCTACCTCACTTCCAGGGACGCCCCTCTGTCCCAGGACGGAGCCATATCTGCCATCAGTGAATCTAGGAAGCTTAGACAGACCTTTTCTGTCTCTGGGGGACAGAGCTGTGGTTTACCCTAGGACAACTCCCCTACTACCATTCCAGGGGGCTGTCTGAGGCAGCATCGGGTAGAATCTCTGGTTCTGTTCATTTTCTTGCTGTGTGGTCTCTGCACATTACTCAAATCTCTCTGAGTTTCACTGTCTTTCTCATCTGCAAGATGGACAGTATACATTTCTTCATCTTGTAAAACAAACTGAAGTAGATGTGTCTGAAGAGTTACGATAAATGTTACTAACGTATGATCAAACAAACAATGTTATGATAAAATAAAGTCATGATAATGTTACTAATAAAGGTGAGATTTGGGGATGGCTGATGAGGCCTCTCAGTCTGCTCCTCTGGGATAGTGGTTTGTTGTTTTTTTTATTATTTGTGAATTGTCACTTTTCTCATCTTGTGATGGGTGCTGAACTGAGTTTTTATAATTTATGGACTACTCTTATCTGCCTGTCTCTTCATTGTTGGTCTGCTTAAGGCTCTGATTTCAGGCTTTATGTTTCTAATTCCTTTTGTCTTCCTCCCTCTCTCCTCTTCTTAAATCTGCGTACTATTTTGGAACTATTTTAGCTTCATCTTTTATGATGATTCTCAGACCACATCTCTCTCCTGAACCTTGGGCTCAGACCTCCAGCTGGCATTTCCAGCTGGGCATTTCCATTGGGATGGTCTTCAAATCTCAGCTTCTCCATCCATACTTGAACTCATCATCATCCCCTCCAATCCAGTTCCTCTCATTCTGGTCCTTGCTTTGGGATTGATATCCTTCCTGTGTCAAGAGAAGACGTTTTTCAGGACCAGCATCTCCACCTCCATCTTCCTTTCTGAGCCATCATCTCTCATGTATGTTCTTCAAGCCTCCTCCTGTCTCCCTGACTGCATTGCCAGCCTTGCCCTTAGCTCCTCATCCTCTTCAGCCAGAGTGTTCTTCATAACCTCACTTCTGCCCATCCCCCACTTCATTTATTGCAGTTCACAGTACTCTACTTCCAGCAAGAGTAACCTCCAGTGCCTGGGGTGCTTTATTTAATGTCCAGATCTTCATAGACATTGTTCCTTCAAACAGGTTTCCTCTTTTGTAGCCCGGACCCAGTTTGTCATCTTCAGTTCTTCTTATTGGATTTTAACTTAGTTGTTTTTTTTTTTTTTCTTCCAGGCAGTGTTTCCTGACTCAGGTATTTATTTATTAATTGTATTCCTTAGGTCCTCTATTGTGAGGGCAGTTTATCTTATGCAGTGCCTGTTAAGTTCTCATGGAACCTAGTAGGAACTCAATAAATACGCATTTAGAGGATGAGTAAATAATCCAATGAATGGAAGCCAATAAAGAAATTTGATTTTTTTAGAATTCTATCACAAATCATTTTGCAGAGTAAGAAGTCTTCTTGAAATTGAATAATTACCCCCTTAAAGTGCCATTTATCTAGACTATTCTATTTGGCTTGTTTGTCTGCATTAAGCCTGTGGATTCTTCATGTTTTTTTTTTTTTTTTATTGTTGTTGTTGTTCTGTGTTTTCTCTGGGAAGATTATAGGTGCCCAGAGACCACAGACTTCTATTCTTCTAAGAGTGGTCTCTCTTCAGGAGTTGGCAGAGTTGGAGAGGGGTTGACCTTTCCCAAAGTGAGGTGCCAGAGAGCAAGAACACATTGGGAGCAATGTTTTTGACTGATGGTCAATCAGAGGCCCTGGTACAGTCTGCAAATAGTGGTTAGCCTTTTCCCCACCAAAGACCCAGGCTGCTTGGAAGGGTGTTTTTAATTTTGGAGCTATGGTTGCCATGGTAACACAGCACTTTTTTTCCAGTCTTTTGCTTCCAGGTCAGGGCAATAATTATTCCTCTTGCCAGAGAAAAAGATTCTGGAACAGATGCCTCTATCCTTCCATCCTCTTTCCCCCCCTCATGAATATGTCAGATATTCTTTGTACATACATTACGCACCAGGGGGTGTTCTAGACACCAGGAATAATAATGAAGAAAATAATTTCTGCCCTACCAGAGCTTACATCCTTGGGAGGGTAGAGACAGTAAGCAAATTAACAGTGCAGGGCTGGTACCTATTTGTTTAAAAACAAATATGCGGACACATCACTGAAAGTGAATTAGTTTTCTAAAACTTGGAAATCAAATGTTGTAAAATAAATGTCTTCCACATAGCTTTGAAGAGAGATGGGAATGGGGGAGGAGCTGGGGTCCAGTTCCCTCCTGTTAATGGTAGAGCTGAATTAATTGGGTGGGGGTATTTTGGAATGCAGAAGTGTGTGTTGCTCTGGCATTTTCCAGGGCCTTGGAGGTGACAGGATTAAGTTGACCCTTCCTCTCTCTCTCTGCAGCTGTCAAAGGCCAGAGCAATTAGTCTACTGGTGTTTTGCTTCTTTGTGGCTCTTGACACTAGCAGAAGTCAAGAGCCAAAGGACCTCCAATAGAAGTAGCCCTTCTTTGTATAGTGACAGTCTTGAAGATGGACCATGCATGTCATTTGTTGAGCCACCAGAGTTGGGAGTCTTAAATCGGACCCCAGGCTGGATGTACAGAGAAAAGGGGAGGCATGGACATCTGCCTTAGAAGCTTCCAGTCGCTGTGGCTGAGAGTAGTGCTCCTATGGACACAAGGAAAAACAGTGCTGGCAATAGCAGTTTATCATGATCTTTTAATTTGGGTAGCACTTTATCCTTTTTAAAGTGATTTACCAGGTCAGGGGCCAACAGGAAGATAAAGACGAATATGATTATTTGCCCCAGAACCTACTAAAAAGTTTGTGCACACAGAGCCTCCCAGTAACATGTTTATGGCATGATGAACCATTATTTCATTTGTTCCTGTAACCTAAGGGGCAGATGTAATGAGTCTCTCTACTTGGCACTTAAGGAAATTGAGACTAACACATGTGCACATCCATATGGTAAGTAATGATAGAAACCTGATGCAAATAGAGGGATGTCATAACACTTTTCATTCAGGACTTTTTCTATATTGTACATTATTTGTATATATCTGACAAGAGGCTGAGGTTTCTATATACATGCTGACAATGTCTGTCATTAAAATCCACAGGAAATTTAAGACCACTCATTATAAGCACCTGTTCCAGCTTGCCTCCATTCTTTTAAAGCCTCCATTCTTTTCTCCATCCATGAAAAGCTTTGACAGCATTTGACTTCCTCTCGATCCCCTTCCTTTAAAATATATTTTTATTTATTTATGCATACAAGAACTGGGGTATAGGCCAGTGGTACGGAAGGTGAGAGGATTCACCAGAGCAGAGTGGGGAGCAGAACAGGCAGATCTACTGAAATACACTGTTGAGGGGAGCAGTGGACGAGACAGGAGAGGTCTGCCGCGCCATGTGGGCATCCCCCTGGGCGGCCGGGATCGAACCCGCACTGCAGAGGCTGCGGACAGCTTCACAGCACTGCGCTCAACCCGCTGCACCACCGGGGAGGCCCTCAGCAACAGATTTTTATTGAACAACTAATAGGCAGTCAGTGCAAATCAGACAAATCAATGCAAAATTTTAAAATGTAACAAGTACATGCATGAGAGCACTACACTAAGTCTGGAAATCCCAGTCATTGGCCAGATCTTGTGAAGGACCTCCTCTCCTTACTGAGTAGTTGCAGTGGGAGGGACAGTTTTTTTTAGGAAAGCAAAAACAATTTACTCTCAACACAGGGCCCAATTTATTTATTTTTTTCACAGAATAGGCAGAGATGACTTGTGTTCTGTTGACTGGGAGTCCTGGCCAGATGTTTGGGATGCAGGCTCTCTGTTTCTTCTCTTTTTCTTCTAGAGGCATGACATTGAACTTCCCTTTGGTGCGGGGAAAATGAAAGCTCTGATTTGTTTCTCACAAGCACCAGGGATGCAAAGGATTCAAAAGCTAGGTCTTTTCAGGCTTATCATCTGCATTTTTATGACTTTACCCCTTAGAGCCATGAAGAATCTATAGTCTTTGAGCATCTGTCCCCAGTTGCCTACTAGGTTAAGGCCCCTTTGGGCAACAGGTGCTATTTGGAAATGATTCACTTTCTCTTTCTCAATCAGCTCAGCAGTATCCTCAGAGGGCTAGTAAGAAATAGTTGGCTCCAAGCAGATAGCTCCAAACACACTGATCTAGGCAAGTGACAGTTACTGGAGAATGAATGAATGGATGGATGGATGGATGGGTAAATAAATATTTTTAAATAAATACATTGTATATGTAATGTATATCAGTATTACTTATATACAGATAGGTGTGCATATATGTATATATACTTTAACACTGGATATCCCCTACTGCAGGCACGGTGCTCTTTGGCCACTGGATGGGGACTCAATTCATCAGCAAGAAATTTTAATTTGCTTATTGAATATAATACTTAATGTCAGCAGTGGGGTGAGATTATGATTATGTTCGCTTTTGGGAGACTTAGCCACTTGGCATGCCCTGTTCTAGGTGAGGACATGACAAGCCCAGCTGGGACTGAGTGATAGAAGGAACATCTGGAGTCACAGGTGGCTACTAATTGTGAACTTGAGAGTAATTGGGGACAGCTGAGTAATAGAATATATTTCTCTCTCTTCCGAGGCTGTTCATCACTGCAAAATACAGCCTGTCATGACCCAGGCCACACTGTTCGTCTCTGTGCAGGTGTTTGACTTTGATTCCAGTAGCAATTTCTAGCCTGTTCCCAGGGAGGAAAAATCGCATCATGGAACAAGTTTTCTTTCCTCAAACTGTTCTGAATCATTGATCTCTTTCTCCATGTATGAGGAATTGTGGTAATACCCACCCTGTAGTTCTGCTTGAAGATGAAATGATAGAGGTAAGACACCTCTCAAAGTGCCTAATGCAGCGAAGGTACTCTCTGTTACCTGGTACTTCTTTTTCTCTCCTTCCCCTTTAAAATGAAGCGGAAGAGGTGTTTTCATTTTGGTGGCATTTGGGGCCAAGTTTATCTCACCTGACAGACAGGCCCTGGGGCTTTCGGTTCTTTTCATTGTCCCGCCTTTGCTGAGTCATTTGTAGTTAGCCGACCTAGAACAAAGTAGTGGTCCAGAGGTTGGGCAGGACTGTGTGTGTTCAGCTAAAGTAGCCTGTATTTTCTCTTAGTATTTCCTGGTGTGCTTCTGGAACATGATCCCCCTTCTCATGGTGTAAGAGAGGGGGATGGTAGCCAGCCATAGGGGTGGGGAGCATATCTTGCCAGATGCTGCATTTTCTGTGATGTGACTTCATGAATCTTTTACTTCAGTTTTATCAGTACTGCCCGAGATGTTCTGTGGAGTCTGAGTGGAGGTTAGTATTGGCTTCCTAGTTTGGGTTGAGTGCCATTCTTTGATAGGAGGTGAAATTAGGGGAGATGTTCTTGTGCTAGGCAGAAGAGGTAAAGTGAGAATTATTAGAAAAATTAGAACTTGTAAAATAGAGCCAAGGTAAGATGTAAAGACAGTCTTTAAAAAAAGACCTAAGAGGCATTTGTGAGATCAGTCTTGGTGTTATGTGTACCACACAGTGCTTATTTCATACTTCGTGAAACTACTTGTGGAACTAAGAACATGTAATTCTTGTACTTTGAGAAATACTTTTACTTGCTATAGCAGAGCATTTTATGGGCACTTCGTCTTATGTTAGTAATACTATCGCGATCTGTGTGATTCCATCGATATCTTGATATCGATGACAAATATTGTTTGTGTGCAAGAATCATGTTTATTATTTAGAAAAGTGGAAAATCAAATGTGCGAGTCTGTTGTTGTCTCAGTAGATAGAGACAGAGAATGAAAGACAAAATGTTTGATTAAACCATAATCTATGTCTCCCTTAGGACTAACTAGAGAGACATTAGGATGAACTAAAATCAAAACAGAATTCACTAGAATGTTCCCCTGAATTCCCTTCTAAATTAAAAACACACTGGGGACTCTTCTGATTATATGCATTCCCACTCAATAGATCATTCTTTCCATAAGAATTTGTTATGCAAACTGCTGCAATAGCCTGACTGGAAAAGTCTAGAGTGATCTGCATGGATTCAAGTCTAGACTCTGCTGGTTATTAGACTATTGACCTTAATGTATTTATTACCTTTTTCTTTCTTCCTCTCTTATTGAGACTGCTCATGCTCAGTTTTACCCATAATACTCTTTGCTTTTGAAATCCTCATCATCTGTTGTCTCTTTGCTGATAATCTGTCTCCCATCTCTGCATCTCTGCTACAAGAACAGGGGGTCCTCAAGAGCAGGGGTCTTGCTTACTATGTCCTCAGGGGCTATGGCAGTACTGGTACCTAGGAAACACTCAACAATAGCACAGAACACTTACATTTTGTGGAATGACCAGATGTTAAGAGTGATTCTTGTTCTAAGCGACAGGGCTGTATAATAACGTCTCTCCACTCAGGGGGTTTAGATTCTCATACCCAAAGGAGAGCAGAAGTTGTGGGCAGAAATCCCCTCTGAGATTTCACCTCCTGGAGCTTTCTTCACTGCGGTGTTCTTAAATACCTCTGTGACTTTACATGTCTCTTAACTTCTGTGGCCTTTGGTTTCCTGTTTTGAAAGGGAATTAAACTGGGTGATCTTTTAGCCCTTTCCTGCTGTAAGAGTTGGTCCATGATTTTATTAAAATAATTACAGACTATGATAAGGTGATAAGATGGAAAGAGAATAACAATAAAAGGAAGCAGGGATTTTTCAAAAAATGGGCAGGAAATGAGCCAGGAAGTCACATTTCTGTGTCTGTGTGCCTGGTAATTGCCTTTTTGGGTCTCTGAGCTACATTTGGTTTTCAGGTCGCTCTTCTCAGGTTGCCAATTCTCCTCTCCCCACTGTCCAGCCTGTTCATCTTACACTCTGATTCTCATCACACAACTTGGAATAGCCAGCAGCTGCCTTCTCTGCTGATCACTTAGCATTCAAACTGATTGCCCCCAAAGATTCCCTTCCTTTCTTAAACCTTACTCAGCTCATTTTTAAGGCCAGAGGGTGCCTTTGTGATCAGCCACCTGGTACACTCAGTACATCAGACAGATAAGCCATCTGAGCTTCAGAATGGCAGTGCCACTTGACTCTGGCTGAGTCAGTGGCAGGGCCAGAGCTTGGCCCAGACTGTTGGTCCTCCACATTTGTGCTCTTTTTTTTTACTGTATTTTTATTTTTAAAAAATAAGTGTTCATTTATATGTGACTCCAAGGTAAGTGTATGTGGGTACTTTGTCCAACCCAGTTGGAATTCCCTGGAATCTTTGTGTAACCCACCTTGCAGCCCTCCTGCTCTCAGCTCAGGTACAAGACTTCCTGAAGATTTGTTATAGACTCACCATTAGTTGATGAAGGTGGTAGTAATTAATAGAAGGCGGGGCCTCTCTGGTGGCGCAGCAGGTTGAGCGCCATGCTGTGAAGCTGTCTGCAGTCCCTGCAGTGCTGGTTCCATCCCAGCTGGCCAGGGAGATTCCCACATGGCACCACAGACCTCTCCTGTCGTGCCCGCTGCTCCCCTCAGCAGTGTATTTTAGTCCTTCTGCCTGTTCTGCTCCCTGCTCTGTCTGGTGATTTCTCTCACCCTCCCGCGCCTCTGGCCTCTACCCCAGCTCTTGTATAAATAAATAAATCTTTAAAAAAATAAATAAAAATAAATAAATCTTTAAAAAAAAATAGTGAGACGGTGTTGGTTACTCACCTCTCTAAGTTTTGCACTGTGCTAACACGGTAAGGGATGCCAAAGAGGAAAATGGAACTGCCCCCCTCCCCCAGGGGCTAGTGAGCAAATTCTGGCCATCTTTGATAGCTCCCTTGCTTTCTCCCATCATCTGCAACCAGGCACCCCCTAAGCCTTTCCATGCTTATTCCACCCACTCCCTTAGCTTAAGCTGCATCCTCTCTGCTCTATCAAGAAGGACCTCCTTATGCACCTGCTGCTTCCCCCTCTACTTTCTTTTTTTTTTTTCAAAGATTTATTTATTTTTATACAAGAACCAGGGTACAGGCCAGATCTGCGGGAGGGTGAGAGGAATCACCAGAGACAGAGTGGGGAACAGAACAGGCAGAGTGACCGAAGTATGCTGCTGAGGGGAGCAGCGGGCGAGACAGGAGAAATCTACTTCGCCATGTGGGATTCTCCCCGACCGGCTGGGATGGAACCCGCGCTGCAGAGGCTGCAGACAGCTTCACAGTGCGGCGCTCAACTCCTGCGCCACCAGGAAGGCACCCCCTCTACTTTCTTATAATGAACAAATCACTCCCTGTTTAGAATTCTTCATTGCCTCATCACCAATATAACCCTGTGTCTGGGACACACAGGCCCTTCGTGCTGTAGACTTGGTTTACTTGTCCACATTTGTCTCTTGCCATCCCCATATCAGCCTTCATTTCTGGCTCTATGCAGCTCCGTGCCCTTGACAGGGATTCCGAATCTTGGTTAGCTTGTGCAATATGCTTAGTTCCTATTTGCAATATGGTCTGCCTAGTAAAATTTTCCTTACCTATTAAATAACACCTCAAATGCTGCCTCCTCTCAGAAGCTCTGCCTACTTTCCTAAGCAACCCATGGGTCAGAACCTCAGGAATGGCAAGGTGTTACCTGAAACCAGCCCCCTTACATGGAGGAGCAGGACTGACCTAAGAAAAACAGACCAGATCACTCCCTACTGGTCTTAATCATAGGAACTTACTTCCAAAGCTTTGGCTTAGGTGGTTGCAAATAAGGGTTATTTGGATCTGCCCCCCCAATCTCAAAATTTTCTATAGACCCTTCTGGGTTTGATCACATGCACTGCCCAGAAAGTCTCAATGACACATTTTATCTCAAGGCTGTGTCCTTGGCTGGCTTCTGGGAGCTGGAAGCCAAGTGTGCATATATTCCCAGGACAGGGGAGGGGGCTAGAGACCTCCATGTGCCTGGGACCAGCTCTTGGGTCAATAGTCATGTTCTTTTTATTGCCTTTCCAACAGCCCCCAGCTGGCTTTTCTCGTGTTTGGATACTGTACTTGGTGTGGACCCTTGCCCCCCCCCATCCCCACGTCCCCTTGCATGAAACAATCACCTTTTATAAGCAGACTCATTCATTATTCAATAGCATGTCTTTTTCTTCCCTAGAGAGTAAGTTCCTTCAGGACAGAATGTATCTGTCTCTCTTTTTTAACCTCTGTAGCCCTTCAAATGGAGCCTGGCACATAGTAGGTGCTCTTGAAATGCCTGCTGAATGAGAGATGAGATTTCACTGCACACTATTGAAATAAAGCCAAGGACAGAATATTTTTTTCCCCTCAAGAAAGAAGCGTCATTTCAAATATTGTAAAACGTCAGAAAGAAGGAATTGGGATAGAATAAAGGCCATCAGGCAGTCATTAGTGACCTTTGATAAGAGAACAGTTTGTGTCAAGGAATAGAGATGGAATCGTGATTGCAGGGAGTGAAGATGGGACACACGAGAATATTTATGCAGTGGTGGTGATCACTAGTTGGAGGAGTAGGGCAATGAAAGGAAAATAAAAAGGTACTTAACTTCAACACTCAAAGTATGATGAGACCAAAGATAGCCTGAGCCCATGTTGGGTGAATTTTTGTTCTCTTTGCAAAACTGGACATCAGAATACCAATTTATCTCATCAAAATGAGAGTCTCTCAGCTGAGCTCAAGAACAGAGCCTGCCCATGGCAGGGTCATTCATTACCTTCTCCCTAAAATCTTCCTGAGAAGAAAATGGAGGTAAGAGACTTTGCAGCAAGTGCTTTTTTTTTTTTATCTAAAGAATGAAGAAGAGTATCCTAGACAAGGAAAAAGTGACTGGGGTGTTTTCCTGCTTATCATAACTCTCCCACCCATGTACCACTGAAGCGTGAGTGATGAGAAGACGAGGTGGGGGGAAACAAAAGCATTTTTGGGTGCTGAGAACTTGCAGGGTAGGTATGCCTTGGTGGGGTACTTTTAAATTTCAGCTCTGCAGATAGGCAATTACAGAATGGAAGTGGAGCTTCTTTTGGGACTAGCCCCTTGAGCTGCTGTAATTTTCCCCATCTCCGAGTCAGATCTCCTTAACTAGGATGCATGAGAATGATCACCTTAATGCTCTTGGCCCAGCAGAATTCCACAGTCGACTCCAACTACACACCGGTGGGCTTCAGGCATCCCCAGCACCACTGCCTACCTAGCCACGAGTGGGGAAACCATTTGTAGAGGCGCTGTGTAAAGACTGGTGTATACACTTTGTAGGGGGCCCTGAGAGGTCAGAAAGAACACAGCCCGTGCAGTGAGGGCAGATTGGGGGTGTGTGCTTAATGAAAACAAGGCACTTGTACTGAATGGAGTTTGAGTTTAAGAAGAATTTTATTTTAATAGGACTGACTTGTGAGACAGTAAGTGAAAACATAGCAGACATTCAGTGCTCAGTACTGTCCTCTTCCTCTATCATACAAACTTTTGGCTTTTCATGATTAATTCTCTTTAGATTTAAAACTGTGTTTCTAAATACTCATTAAGGTTCTGGAAGGAGGGGTTGGGTCTTAGGGGACTTTGTGCTCTGACCTAGTACCCGACAGCTCCCCAAGCTTGCTTTCTCATCTTTTGTCTGTTTATAGGCTGCCATTCAAAGTGTTCCTTGAGTGAATTTTGAAGAATGGTCTATACACTTTGTGGATCATCAGAATCTTTTTTTATGCCCTGTGCATGTGGATGAGTCCCAGAGGTGGCCTTGAAGGAGAGGGCTGATTGGATAGAAGGGGTGTGTTGGGTGTCACTGTGGTTCATTAGCATTCTTACACTAAAAATAAGTGACTTGTGGGTCATTCAACTTTGGTTTTCTCTTTAATATTCTGAGCTCTGCAGTACCTGTTGCCTTGCTACTGGCAAGTGGCTGTGAGTGGTGTGTACCTTATCAGAAAATTGTCAGTGGTGCTTGACAGGGAAGATACGGCATTTAATCGTGTGTGGAGAATGGCATTATGGAAACACGCCAGGCTCTCACACCCAGACTCCTGACCCCAGTAGCGGTCAGCGCTATTACTTCTCCCCAGGCCCCTGAGGTCCCCTCGGTGGGTTGGTGAATGACTGGGGTTTTTGATTGGACTGTTTTCTGTTTCTTCTAACTGGGAATAAAAACCTGTTTTACCATAAACCAGGTGTTCCTGGGGCTAAGGGCAAATGAGTTGGCTGGGGAGTGGGAATAGGAGTGGGGTAGGGGAGCAGGAGGTGGGGAAGCTGAGTTTCTCTCATTGGGAAACAGCACAGTCTGCAACCTGTCCTTGAGCCCCGGGCCCTTCTGTGGTATCTGGCAATTTGTGTGTGATAGGGCTTCTGCATAAATCCCTGCCCCTATGTGTCCTTGGTCCATTTGGAATTAGGGGTTCGTCCTTCTTTCCAGCTGCATCTGCCTCTCCTCCCCTTGGGTACCTCTCACCTTGGAATTTACAAGCTTGCTATTTCTCCCTCCCTGCCCCCCCCACCCCCAATGACCCCCAGTGCCTTCCAGTGTCCTGCAATTTGAGCATAAGGGGTTTGACTTCTGTAAGGGAAAGGGAAATAGAATTCTGGTGGCAAAATGAACTTAACTACCCAGTGAGAAGCCATCGTTATAAAACATCTTGAAAACATATTTATTCCTAATTGAGTTTTCTTTGACCAGATGTAAAAGAGATTGTCTGCTTTTTCTGGGGCATCTGCAGTGTTCTTGTGGGAGTTTACCAGCTGTTTTTGGGGAATGAGCGCCCCCATCAACTCCAGGTTGGCGCCCACCTAACACAAGCTACTGCTGCTTTAGCTAACAATGGAATCAAGTTGGTAACACCACTAGGGCTGTTTCCTAAATGAGTTTCCATGAAGAAGCACTTTGGTCAGAAATGTGGGTACATTTCCATGAAGAAACCCTTTGGGCAGAAATGTGGGTACATTTCCATGAAGAAACCCTTTGGGCAGAAATGTGGATACATTTCTGGTCTGCAGCTGACCTGCCCTTCCCAGGTTCTGCCCTCCTGCCTAAATGGGATGGCTCTGGCCTCTCTGGTCCCCAAAGACTCCTCCTTGGGCTGCAGGCCAACCCTTCACTGGCCTCCTGGAAGTCTCCCTAGGCCTGACTCTAGCTCTTGGAAGTCCTGACCTCTCTCCTGGCACATTGCTGTCTTATTTGGCTTGCCCAGGGCTTTTTCACTGTCTGATGGTTGATACAGCTCTTCGGCAGCCTAAGTTACTTTGTTTGTTTGTTTGTTTGTTTGTTTGTTGGACCCTCACCGGAGGCCGGGGAATGAACCGGCTCTGCAGAGGCTGCGGGGCAGCTTCGCAGCCCAGCGCTTAACTGCCGCGCCACCAGGGGAGGCCCTGTTTGTTTGTTTTTTAAGGTATAGTTGAAAATGTATTGGTTTCACTTGTGGCCCTGTGACCTAATGGCAGGTGCCATTATCTGGCACTCTGTCCCATCTTATATCAGTGCCCATTGGCTGGTCAGCACAAATTCCTGTTGTTTTCAACAAGAAATTTTCTGTTTTTTTCTGCCTCTTAGAGAGCAGAAACCATTGATAATTTCAGTCTGGCTCTTCCTAGCCACACATCCCAAATTCAGATCTCCTCAGTCTCATCCCCAAAGTCTTTCTGCCACCCAGTGCTTCCCCACTCCAAGTGTATGAGGCAGCACTGTGAAAGGCTCCAAGTAAAAGAACAGAGACTTCAGGGGCCAGAAACCTGATTGAACCCTCTTTCGTCAGCTAACCAACAGTGCACTCTGAGGTCATGTGTCCCCATGGACCCTTATTGTTTTCACCTATAAACTGGGAATCAGAGTATATATATTTCTTACCTACTTTATGGTGTTGGGAAGATCAGGTAGAAGAATGTACGTGGAAGCATGTTGTAGACTGGAAAGCACTGTTTAGATGTGAAAGTTCTTGTTGGTATTAAATGCAACACATTAGTATGCACTGTCTTTCAATAAAGATGGGAAAAAGCAGTATTTGAAGGACAGGAGATTTCCTCTGATGTAGCAAAAGGTGTTATTGCCAATGGATGGACAGAGCTACCATTATCACTGGTGATGCCTGCTCAGGCTTGTATTTATCACAGCTCTGTGATAGAAATAAAGAACATCAATGAATTAGACCCTGAATAAATGAGAGGGAATAGACAGCCACACCTGTGTGTGACATGTGGCTCAGTTGGCCCAGGTGGAAGATGTAGTCACTGAAGTGTGGTGTCAGTGGGATCACAGCGAGAAGACATTTAGAGCAGAGAGGACCATATGGACAAAGTTTGGAGGAATGAGTGTGTATGGTTGTTTTGGGGAGAGCACAAGTGGCTCTAAAAACTGAACATGAGAGGCTTAGGCAGAACTTCTGTAGGGGAAGTTGAGAAATTGTAAAAAGTTGTTTTGTGTCGTAAGTTCTTTTGTGCAAGGAAGAGGTCAAAGGATTTTGACCCGGGAAGAGACATGTTTAGAGCAGTGTCAGAAAACAGTAGGTGAAGGGCCTCCCCGGTGGTACAGCGGTTGAGCGCTGGGCCGCGAAACTGCCTGCAGCCTCTGCAGTGCCGGTTCGATCCCCAGCCCCCTGCGAGGGTCCCACATGGCGCAACAGACCTCTCCTGCCACCCGCTGCTCCCCTCAGCAGTGTCCTCCGTCTGTCTGCCTGTTCTGTCCCCCACTCTGTCTCTGGTGAATCCTCTCACCCCCCACACCTCTGTCCTGTACCCCAGTTCTTGTATGTATAAATAAATTTTTTTTTAATTAAAAAAAAAATAAGTCTTTGGGTCCAGACCCCCAAAAACAAAATCCAAGGGAAGTGATTTGTAGGTGATTCCTAAGCAGCCAATCTGGTTCTGCTTTTTGGACCAGCCTGGGACAGTAGGGCTAGAGAGTTGGGGATGAATATAAAAGATACTTCAAAGGTGGGAGCAACAGATCTCCGAACAGATTGGAGATAGGGAGTGGAGGAGCAGGCACTGCCAAAACTATTTCTGAGTTTCCTTGTTTGGACAACTAAATGGCTGACTGAGGATGCAGGTAGCTCAGGTGAGGAAGGCAGATGTGAGCTATTTGGTAGAAGAGGTGCAGGTGTTGGAGGCGCTAAGGTCTGCTGACTGTGGATGATGTCCTATAAACAGTAGAATTCAGGTGTTTGTTGTGACTGTGAAAGCTGGTAGTAGAAGTTTGGGAGCCAACATATGGCTTGTTGACACCATGGATTTGGGGGAGTTTTTTTGGGGAGTGTGTGTAGGGAAGGGATAGAGACTGTGAGCAGGACATTAGGAACCACTTCTCAGAGGTTGGTAGAAGAAGAGAGCAAGGAAATAGCAGCTTGTATATTGATTAGTAAAATCAAGGAAATAGCAGCTTGTATATTGATTAGTGAAATCAATGATTTCTTTGGGGATCATTGGGAGGGAGGGAATCCTTTAGATGTTTCCAGCATTTCCAAAAGTCTAACAGAAAGCAAACATGCATTTTTCTGTGATAAGACAACCTAAAGCTTTAAGTTGGTTTGGTTTGAATTGTATTGCTCCAGTGTGGGAAAGCATGCTGCTGGATGCTAGCCTGCATTCCAGTGGTAGTTATGTACCTTGGATTAAACATACGCATGCATGCATGCACACACACTAGGAGACAGTGTTTTAGTCTGTTACGTGTTTTATGAGAACTGGGAATGTAGGCCTCCCTCGTGACACAAGGGGTTAAGCACAGCACTGTGAAGCTATTTCAAGCCTTTGCAGCTCGAGTTTGATCCTCAGGC